ATAACCCATGGATAAGGCACACTGTGAGAATTATGCACAGAATGATACAGACAGTGAAGGCAGGTGCATAATTGGTGACCCAGTCAGCCTGGGGAAAGAGAATTTCGTATGAAGTCCAGATAATAAACAGATGTGCGGAAGAAATGTAAGGTAAAATTGCTAACTACAAAAGATGGAGCTTCAACCGACTCAGTGGTAGTGTTTCATTGGGCTTGGAACAATAGTTGTAATTGGGTGGTTGTTGTTATTATTATTGTTGATACAGGGTCTTGATATATAGCCTTGGCTGTCCTGGAACTTGATATCTGGGCAAGACTGGTCTTGAATTCGAAGAGATCTGCCTGCTTAAGCCTCTGGAGTGCTGGGAATAAAGGTGACTCGGCTTGGGTCAGTTTTACGAAACCTACCCTTGAGGCCAGTAGGAAGGAAAATGGGTACCTCCTCCTTCAAGGCTGAAGAGTGGAGCCAGCTTTTCAGGACAGTGTCATGACCACAAGAATCACGGCAGCCTTTGAACCGCTTGACCAGTATTTTTGCTTTTGGGGGAGTAAGCCTCCCAGAGACAACCCCAAAGAGGAAGAAGCTAACTTATCCCTGATGGAAGAACCAAAGGGAAGCAGCGTCAGTGTGTGGAATCAGGGCATGTTAGGACGACTGACGGTAGACCCGTAGGTTGCCCATCCTCTTCCTAGATGGCTTGTCCTGTCCGGTCCTTTCCTAGGTAGAGGCACTCGTGAGAACCTGGGAAAGCCCAGAGCCTGTGGCCATATCAACTATAACTCAGTGTTCGTTGAGTTAGAGACTTTGGGTCTGGCTGATACAGCTGCATAATGCTGGCTTTTTCAAGTTCTTTACAATGAAGTTTTAATTTAAAAGTCATTTAATTAATGTCCTCTGCAGTAAAATTGTGATTGTTACATATTGCAGTTTAATTTAATAATTTTATTTTAAAATTATTTATTATTTTGCATGTGTATGGAATAAGCACATGCAATAGCATTCTATAACAGTCAGAGGACAACGTCTGTCTGCCTGGCATGTGGGTCTCAAGGACGGACTTCAGGTGGTCGCGCTCGGCAGCAAGGCTTTTTACCCACCGGGCCATCTTAGTGACCCATATTGAGGTTTTTAGCAGAAAGGTGGGGAAAATCCTGGCAGCGAAGGGAACGTTGGGCACCGGGCATCCACAAAAAGCTGGATTTGAGTCACTGCATTGCCGTGTGGTTTTGGGCGAATCACGTATCTCTTCTTTAGCCTGTCTCCACCTTAGAAGAGGTCGCAGTGATACCCACATAAGAGATCAGAGGGACTCTGGGCTTTCGTTAAGGCAGTTAGTTCCGCAGGCAGAGTAAGTCCTCACTTTCTCATTTTGTCCCCATTGCCGCAAATATCTGGGGTTCCAAGCGGGGCCAGCTGCTTCTGTGTGGCAACAGAGAGGGGGGTGTAGACACACCCCTGAAAAGACAGCCTGCAGAACCACTGGGAATCCCCTTGAGAGGGCTGCAGCCTATGAAGGGTAAGCAAAGTCTGTGCCCATCCATTTCAGACCTGCAGTCAGGACTCAGGAGGACAAGACCTTCTCTTGGGCTGGTATGGTAGCTCAGTGGTAGAGCCCTTGCTGGCCCATGAGGGGCCTTGGGTTCATTTCCCAGCAAAAAAAAGACAGTCACGGGCAGAGTCAGAACACCGTGTGTTCATCGTTTTATCTCTTCCTGATACAACTCTTCTTAGGCAGGGCCAATTTTTCTTGTTTTTTTTCAGGTGAGGACAGGAGTGAGAGGCCTAGAGAGTCCCACAGGAGGGGATCCAAGCTACCTTCACCCCGACACACATTGATGAGACACTGTGTCTCAGGGCTGAGTGAACCATGTTCTCTGTCCCTATTTGTCTCAGTTATTACTTTTCTATTGCAATGACAAAAATATCGTGACCAAGGCAACTTATAAAAGGAAACATTTCATTTAGGGGCTCGTGGTTCCTGAGGGTTAGAGTCCATGGCTGTCAGGGGGTGAAGCATGGCAGGCGGGCAGCAGGCGGGCAGGCGGGCAGGCAGCAGGCGGGCAGCAGGCGGGCAGGCGGGCAGCAGGCAGGCAGGCGGGCAGCAGGCAGGCAGGCGGGCAGCAGGCAGGCAGGCGGGCAGGCGGGCAGCAGGCGGGCAGGCGGGCAGGCAGGCGGGCAGGCGGGCAGCAGGCGGGCAGGCGGGCAGGCGGGCGGGCAGGCAGGCGGGCGGGCGGGCGGGCAGGCGGGCAGCCGGGCGGGCAGGCGGGCAGCCGGGCGGGCAGCAGGCAGGCGGGCAGGCAGGCGGGCAGCCGGGCGGGCAGCAGGCAGGCGGGCAGCAGGCGGGCAGCAGGCGGGCAGGCGGGCAGCAGGCGGGCAGGCGGGCGGGCGGGGCAGCAGGCGGGCGGGCGGGCGGGCGGGCAGGCGGGCGGGCAGCAGGCAGGCAGGCAGGCGGGCAGCAGGCGGGCAGCAGGCAGGCGGGCAGCAGGCGGGCGGGCGGGCGGGCAGGCGGGCGGGCGGGCAGCAGGCGGGCAGGCGCGGGCAGGCGGGCGGGCGGGCAGCAGGCAGGCGGGCGGGCAGGCGGGCGGGCGGGCGGGCGGGCGGGCAGCAGGCGGGCAGGCGGGCAGCAGGCGGGCAGGCGGGCAGGCAGGCAGGCGGGCAGCCGGGCGGGCAGGCGGGCAGCAGGCGGGCAGGCGGGCAGGCAGGCAGGCGGGCAGCCGGGCGGGCAGCAGGCAGGCGGGCAGCAGGCGGGCAGGCGGACGGGCGGGCAGCAGGCAGGCAGGCGGGCAGCAGGCGGGCAGGCGGGCGGGCGGGCAGCAGGCGGGCGGGCGGGCAGCAGGCGGGCAGGCGGGCAGCGGGCAGGCAGGCGGGCGGGCAGGCGGGCAGGCAGGCGGGCAGCAGGCGGGCAGGCGGGCAGGCGGGCAGCAGGCAGGCGCCTAATCAGTAGCTGAGAGCTTACATCCGATCTGCGGGAGTAAGGGGGAGGAGGACACTGCCTGGGAATGGTGTGGGATTTTGAAAGCTCAGAGCCCCACCCACACCCCAGGGACACACTCCCTCCACAAGACCACAGCTCCTAATCCTTCCCAAACAGTTCCACCGACTTTGAACCAAGCACTCGAATATACGAGCCTATGGGGGCCATTCTGTTCAAGCCTCCACAGAGACATGGCTTGGGTGGTCCTTGATTCCTGCCTTTTCCAAGAAGAAAGACTGAGTCACTATTCCCGGCCCCCAGGGCCTCACTCTTCCTTCCATGATACGGTGCTGATGACGGACCCCGGAAGGTGACACTGGGGGCTCTGAGCACAGCTGTAAGAGTGTCTGCCCTTCACTCGAGTCTGCAGCTGGGGTAGTCCACCTCAAGGAACGGCTCTCTTTGCTGGCGTTCACTGGGAACGGTTGAAAATACAGTGCTCCTATCTGTCTGCAGGGCCGAAGCGTCTCAGTTTGAGGCAGGGTCTCATGTAACCTAGGCTGGCCTTGAACCCACTATATAGATGAGGACGACCTTGAACATCTGATCCTTTTCCCTCCATCTTCCATGCGCTGGGATTACAGGCGTGTGCCACCACACTTATTTGATATAGTACTGGTGACCCACTTCAGGGCTTCACACACACTAGGAAGACACTCTACCAGCTCAGTCACATCCCCCACACTACTTAAAAAAAAAGATTTATTTGTGATATATATGTATGTATGTGAAACTTGTGTGTGTGTCTGTGTGAATGCCACATGTGAGGTGCCCCCAAAGAGAGGGTCGGGTTCCTTGGAGCTGGAGTTCCAGCCAGTTATGAGCCAGCTGCTGTTCCCAGCACTTCATTCTGGACTGATACGAAGGTCCTGAGCGGTAATCTCCCAGATGGGAAAGTGTCAGTCCTACCGTGGTTAATTGAATTTTGGATGCTTTCCTGGGACCGGGAGGTGGGATCAGGTTGGGGAACAGGGAGAAGGCAGGATCTGCATGGTGGAAGGAGGTGTCTTGAGTAGGAAGGACTGAGAAAGCAGGTTGGGTGGGGCTCTTGCTTGACCAAACACTGTGAGTCCCCAGAGGTTCCCAGACTGGCGTGATGTCTCTGGATGTGTGCCTCTGAAAGCTGCGTTTCTGACTGTGGCTGAACGAGGTGGTGGTGTAGGGGGAGAGGGAGGAGGACATGAAAACCCAGGATGGGTCACAATAGTGACCCTGGGTGGAAAATAACTAGAATGGGCCATGTACAGAATACAAGACGGTATGTGTGTATGGGGTGGTGGTGGAGAGAATGTGGGGTGAGCCCCCAAGCCTTTGATGAGGTGACTAGATGCTCAGAGCACAACCAACAAAGATCGGGAGCCGGGAGTGAGTGAGATGTGTGAGGATGTTGAACTGAGCTTACTTTGGACACGTGGAGTTTGAGCAGCCCGTGTGGTAGGTGGGAGCGTCTAGTCAGAAGAATGTCCCCTGCTGAAGTCAGCCACTGTCTGCAAACAGATGTTCCCTTCAGTGCTTGCGGCCCTAAGCGGGGATGTGCCAACAAGAAGGATGTGGGCGGGCAAAGACAGTTACAGGAGTGGACTGTGTGGATTTGAAGGATGCTCCAATTATAAAACACACTGAAAACTGGAATGCACTCCTTTCTGCTGCTGCTCAGGCGCTGGCCAGCAGCCTGCAGGGTGGAGTCCAGATCATCAGCTCAACTGGACATCTGTCGGGCACTTACCTTCTCTTAGCTTCCTTCCTAAGGCTACCCTAGCAGAGCGCCTCAGGCCGGATGAGTCTTTTACAGTTTTGGATGCTTGAAATCAAGGCCTGGGCAGGAAAAGGTCTGTCTACACCTCGCTCTCAGTTCCTGTAGTCCTTGGTACTCTTCAGCTTGTAGAAACACAAGTTGCCTGCCCCTCGTGTGTGTGTGTATGTGTGGTGTGTGTGTGTGTGTGTGTGTGTGTGTGTGTGTGTGTGTGTGTGTTTGCATTTGCATGCACTCCTATGTGTTTCTGTTTTCTCTTAAGTACAGCAGCTGTGGCTCGCCTCAGCAGCTCATACGATAAAATTGGAATGATACAGAGATTAGCATGGCCCCTGTGCAAGGGTGACCTGCAAATTCCTGAGGCGGTCCTTATGTTTGATACCCTGCCTCAGTGACTAAATGGAGAGTGATTGACAAAGACACCTGGTGTCAACCTCTGCTGAGCACAGCACGCGTGTGTCCACACACATTCGAAGCATTTGTACATACTGCTTGCACACCATATTTCTATGCATGAACAACGTTAAAAAAGAACGAGCTCAAGAGGAGTTATATACCAGTTCCCTTTGCCGAGACCCTGTTTCTAAGTAAGATCACATTGTGAGACTCCATTCCACATGATTGTGAACTTGGGGTGGGTACCCAGGCGTTTCTGTTTCTGGCATCCTCTCCACCCGACTGCCATGCTCTTCTTTCAGGAAGATGTCCATATATACCCCAGCCGCCGTTTACTATCTGCAACTCACAAACACTCCCTCTCTGAGAGGACCCCATTACTGTCGGTGCCCCCACTAGGCCCTGGACTCCTTGATACCCGAGTCCACTGGCCTCTGTTTCTTTGCACTGAGCGGTAGAGACAGCCCCCGCTTCAGAGTAACAGGAGAGTGGCTGTGGGTGCTCGCTGTGATCTTGGGTGACTTTCCTAATTTCTCTTTGCCTCAGTTTCCCTTTTTGTAAGATGGAGCTGTTAAATGAGAACTTACTGGGTCATGAGGAAGTATACTGAGAGCAGCTGTTCAGGGACTCCCATCTCCAGGAGGGAAGAATCTTGTTTGTTCTTTGGTATTTGGGGCAGTGGCTGACATGGCAGGGGACCATAAGGACTTGTGGAACTTACACGTACAGAGACTTAGCATGAGGAGAACTGACGGCATCTGTGTGTTTATGAATTTGAGCCTTCCTTAGAGGCCCCCCTCCTTCTGCCTGAGTCCCCGGCGTTAGATAACTTCACGCTGGATGCTGGGGAGTGTGGTGGTACACAGGGGTCTCAGTTTGACTCAAACACTCAGCCCTGTGCTCGGCGCTTCTCTTTCATGTGGATGGAACACATTTCGGCTTATTACACGGTGGTATCTGCAGTGGCTTCCATAGATGAGTCACCATTTACTGTAAAGTTTTCAGATGCCCGGCAGACACACCCATCGGCGGAGATCAGGCCCTCTGCAAGACCTGCAGCCCGGCCTCAGGCGTCTAGCAAGAGACAGAAATCTTGTGGCCCCTTTCGACATGAAGGTCACAGGTGAAGGTCCGCCTGCAGCTTCCACCTTCCTGCTGGAAATTTGGTTTGATCTTTCCTGAGGTAGCCACACACCAACCGTCAGACGACACTGTACACATTCGTGCTTCTGGACGAGAGATTTATTCTTGGGCCTCATTTTGTTTTTGTGTGAACTGTTTAAATAAGTAAAAACAAAGGTGGGCTGGAGGTTCAGTTGGTAAAGTGTTTGCTGTTACAAGCATGAGGACCTGAGTCGAATCCCCAGAACCCGCGTGAAAGGCTGGCAGAGTGGCACGTGCTTGTAACTTCAGAGTTGGGAGGCGGAGAGCAGGGATCCTTGGGGCTCACAGGACAGCCAGGAAGCCTGTTTGGTGAACCTCTGGTCCTGGTGAGAGACCTAGTCTCCAAACACAAGGCGGCTGCCAGAGAGGCCGCCTAATGGGTAAAAGTGTTTGCTGCAGAGCGCGATGATCTGCATGGCAGAAGGAGTCAACTGACTCCTGACACACGTGCCGTGCTGTGTGATTTTATGTGTTTGTTTTGTTTTAATCTGTTTGTTTGTGACTTTTCAAGACAGGGTTTCTCAGTGTAACAGTCCTGGCTGCCCTGGAACTTGCTCTGTAGACCAGGCTGACCTTGAACTCACGGAGATGCGCCTGCTTCTGCCTCCCAAGTGCTGGGACTGAAGGCGTGCGCCGCCGCCACCGCCGCCACCACCACCAGCTTATGTATTTGTTTTGTGTGAGTGTGTGTGTGTGTGTGTGTGTGTGTGTGTGTGTGTGTGCGCGTGTGTGCATGTGCTGGCCTGAGAGTGGGCGCTGGAGGGTGCCGGTCTTCAGGCACACTCTACCTCCATTTTGTTTTTGTCTTTTTTTTTTTCCAGGCGGGGTATCTCATTGGCCTGGAACTGCCAAGTAGGCTAGGCCAGGCCCTTGTGGGTCCCAGGGATCCACTGTCTTTGCACCCTCAGCGCTGGGATTATAAGAGCATTTTACCTAGGTTTCCCTCCCCTCCCCTCCTCTCCCCTTCTTTTCCCTCCTTCCCCTCCCCTCCTCTTCTCCTCCCTCCCCATCCCCTCCCTTTCCTTCTCCTGCCCTATTCTCTTCCTCCCTCCCTTCCCCCTCCCTTCCCCTCTTCCCCCTCTCCCTTCCCCTCTTCTCCCACCTCTCCCTCCCCCTCCCTTCCCCTCTCCTTCCCCTTCCCTTTCTCCTCCCCCTCCCTTCCCCTCTCCTTCCCCTCTCTTCCCCTCCCTTCCCCTCTCCTTCCCCTCTCCCTCCCCCTCCGTTCCCCTCTCCCTCCCCTTCCCTTCCCCCTCCCCCTCCCTTCCCCTCTCCTTCACCCCTCTTCCCCTCTCCTTCCCCCTCTCCCTCCCCCTCCCTTCCCCTCTTCTTCCCCCCTCTCCCTCCCTTCCTGCCCTTCTTTCCTTAGTTCCTTCCATCCTTTGAAGGCAGCACTGTACTGTCTCCCCAGCCTCACATAGACATTTTTGAAGGTGCCTCTCAGACGTTTCCCCATGTGTAAACTGGGGACAGTGGCGGTTTCTTCAGCAGGATCGTTTTAAGGCTTTGATGCGACCTTTTGAGGTCCCTGGTGTGTAGCTGGTCTGAAAAAGTAGCCACTGTACATGGAGGAAGTGCTCTGGATTTGGGGTTTTGAGGTCATGGATGGCAGGAGGAGCCTTCGGTGCAGTCAAGGGTGTGGAGGTGCCCGTCCGATCTCCTTCCTGCTTGGTGGTGGTAATTATTCAAAATCTGCAGCTAGTTACTGTATTCATTTGACTAGTTTGTGCCTCACCGTCTGTGCCCACGGGGCCTCGCCTCAAAAATAAAACAAAATGGAGCCCACCCCCACCTCCCGACCCCTGCCTTCCTCCGACCCCTGCCCTTCTCCGGAACCCACCCCCACCTCCCGACCCCTGCCCTCCTCCGGAGCCTCTCTTAGGACTGATCAGCTGTTTTGACCTTGTGCTTTTTCTGGTGTGTCCCATGGACCACAGTGGATCCCTGCAGGGTGGTTCCCCCCACCCCCACCCCTACCCGACTCCTGTCACTCTGGTCACCTGGGCGAGAGATGGCTAGTTTTCCTGAGGTCCCACCTAGGACCCAGGTCTCCTGAGATTGTTGTGTGAGTCTTTGGAGCAAGAGGCCGTCACCATTTGGGCTTCTGGAATTCGGCACTCTGAGACATAGCCAGTATTTATGGGGGCAGCAGTGCTGGGCAGTTTGAAATCCAGGCTTAGGAGACACTCAGGACAATGGTTGCCTCGTCTGGATGTTGTGTCCTAAAGGCCCAGGAGATCAAGGGATGGCCTTTGCTCCTGCCTCCTCCGTATTGCTGGGGTCTTCTGAGTCAGTGTCTTCTCCCATCGCAGGTGATTTTGTGAGGACTCAGCCTCCCCTTCTTGAATTCGCAAGTGTGTCCCGCCTGCACTAGGGTTGATTACCTTCCCAAGGGTGTGGTCCCTCCTGGGGCCCCGTGAACCCACAGGCACCCCACAGTAGGTCAGCTCGGAGTGAGTGAGAATTCACATATGAAGCCCCTCGTGATGAAGCGGGGTGGAGCCGCTGCCCCTGCACCCCACAGGGAAGAGGGGGTCCCTGCCTGCTCTCCGGCTGCTGTATTCTTTCTTCTGTGCAGTATTCATGTGCTGGGTGCGAATCTGCCATAAGTCGCTCAAGCTGAGCCGCACACAGTCCTTTTGCCTGGTTCTTCCTAGTGAAGGGACGGTGCAGTGTTCAGGGTGTGGCTGGCTGGGGTGAACGGTACAGCCTGTCACTGGACCAGGAATATTTTGGGCCACACAAAAGATGTGGGTCCCATGACTTCTGTTTTTAGAGGGAACTGGACCCAGTGTGGAGGAGAGTGTGGGCGGAGTCTGCCCTTGGTAGCTGGCTCCACTGAGCGATTGGGGCTCCAAGGTAATTCTACTAGAGGTGATGTTCCACTGAGTCCCAGCCACTCCTAGGATTCTAGAATGTTCTAATCCTGAGATTCCATTCATTGTGGGGCCTTTGGCCCCCTTTTTAATTTATTGTTTTTTAAAAATTTATTTTATGCACACATATATTTGCCTGTATGCACATACATGTACCATATGTGTGCCTGGTGTCTGGGCACGCTGGAAGAGGTGTAGGATCTTCTGGAACTGGAGTTAGAGACAGTTGTGAGCTGCCATATGGGTGCTGGGAATTGAACCCCAGGCCTCTTTCAGAGTCGGTTCTCTCAACTGGGGAGTCGCCTCTCCAGCCCCTTCAATGTCCAGCGGGCCGTGTGGAGGGATGGGAAGGGTCCCATCAGGGGCGGTTGGTCACCGTCATATCTGACGGTGAGGACCGGGTGAGAATCAGATGTCAGGGTGGGCAAGTGGCCTCTGTCTCCAAATCCCCCTGTCACTGCCTGAGGTGTCTGCAGAGCCCTAACCCTCGGCTCAGAGACCCTGGAGTTCTCCCTTCCTCCGTGTTCTCCTGCATTCCTTCACATTCTGGGAAGTTCTTTTCAGTTCACCCCATCATTAGGCCTGGCAAGGCCACACCAGCCTGAACCCGTGGTCTGGCTACACAGAACTGAGGCGAGATCTCAAGTTCAAGGCTCGTTTGGGTTACGGAGAGAGCTCAAGGCCAGGGTGACTTAGCAGCTCCCCACCCGCCCTGTGGTTGGGGATGTATTTCAGGGGCAGGAAGGAGGCTTGCCTTTTATACTTGAGGCCCTGGGTTCAATTCCCAGTAGAAGAGAAAAACCTCTCAAAAACTGAGGGTCCCTGTGGTTTATGTGTGCAGTTGCATGTTTTGCTTATGTATGTGTACGTACTGTGTGTGTGTGTGTGTGTGTATGTGTGTGTGTGTGTGTGTGTAGGTGTGTAGGTGTGTTTGTGTGTGCCTG